CCCCAGTGACCCCATGGCCCCACTGAAGCCCCCCCAATGTCCCCATGGCTCCCCGTGGACTCTTGGTGGGGTCACGCCCCTTCTCAGAACCCCACGAGTCCAAAACCCCCCTTCAGACCCCTTGTGGATCCACAGCCTCCCAGTGGCCCCACTGTCCCCCTCAGTGGACCCTTGTTCCCCCTCAGACCCCAAATGGCCCCACTGTCCCCCTCAGACCCCAAAGAGGATCCTTGTTCCCCTTTAGACCCCAAATGGCCCCACAATCCCCCTCAGACCCCAAAGAGGATCCTTGTTCCCCTTTAGACCCCAAATGGCCCCACAATCCCCCTCAGACCCCAAAGAGGATCCTCGTTCCCCTTTAGACCCCAAATGGCCCCACTGTCCCCCTCAGACCCCAAATGAGACTGACCTTCCCTCTCAGACCCCAAACATTTGCTGGATCTGCTAGCCTGGGGACATGCAGGTTCTGGGAACGGGGGAGATTTGGGGACATGGAAAGGAATTATGGGAATGGGAGAGTTTTGGGGAGATGGAAAGGGGTTATGGGAATGGGGGGATTTGGGGACATGGAAAGGGGTTCTGGGAATGGGAGAGTTTTGGGGACATGCAGGTTCTGGGAAAGGGGGAGATTTGGGGACATGGAAAGAGGTTATGGGCATGGGGAGTTTTGGGGAGATGGAAAGGGGTTCTGGGAATGGGGGAGTTTTGGGGATGTGCAAAGGGGTTATAGGAATGGGGGAGTTTTAGGAACATGCAGGTTCTGGAATGGGGGGTTTTAGGAACATGCAGGTTCTTGGAAAGGGGCAGTTTTGGGAACATGCCGATTCTGGGAATGGGAAAGTTTTGGGGATGCACAAAGGGGTTATAGGAAAGGGGAAGTTTTGGGAACATGCAGGTTCTGGGAATAGGGGAGTTTGGGGAACATGGAGATTCTGGGAATGGGAGAGTTTTGGGGATGTGCAAAGGAGTTATAGGAATGGGGGAGTTTTAGGAACATGAAGGTTCTGGGATGGGGGATTTGGGGGACATGGAAAGGGGTTATAGGAAAGGGGCAGTTTTGGGAACATGCAGGTTCTGGGAATGGGAGACTTTTGGGGACATGGACGGGGGTTATAGGAATGGGGGAGTTTTGAGGACATGGATAGGGGTTCTGGGAATGGGGGAGTTTTGGGGACATGGAAAGGGGTTATAGGAAAGGGGGAGTTTTGGGAACATGGATAGGGGTTCTGGGAATGGGGGAGATTTGGGGACATGGACGGGGGTTTTAGGAATGGGGGAGTTTTGGGGACATGCAGATTCTGGGAATGGGGGAGTTCTGGGAATAGGGGATTTTTGGGGACATGGAGGCTCTGGGAAAGGGGAAGTTCTGGGGATGCTGCGGTGGGTCCTGGGAAGTTCTGGGGACGTGGAGGTGGTTTATGGGGCGTTCTGGGGACATGGAGGTGGTTTATGGGGAGTTCTGGGGACATGGAGGTGGTTTATGGGGAGTTCTGGGGACGTGGAGGGGGTTTATGGGGAGTTGTGGGGACAGGAGGTGGTTTATGGGGAGTTCTGGGGACAGGAGGTGGTTTATGGGGAGTTCTGGGGACATGAGGTGGTTTATGGGCCGTTCAGGGGACAGGAGGTGGTTTATGGGCCGTTCTGGGGACAGGAGGTGGTTGATGGGCCGTTCTGGGGAGCCGGGCAGGCCGGGCTGACCGCGCCGTGCCGCGGCTCCCGCAGGATGAGGGAGCGGTGGCTGCAGGTGGCACTGCTGGCCGTGCCCCTCCTGGCCGTGTACCTGCACGTCCCGGCCCCGCAGCTCTCCCCGGCGCTGCGCTCCTGGAAATCCTCCGGCAGCTTCTTCACCTACAAGGACCTGAGCATCTTCTACAGAGGTGACACAGCCACCATCCCTCGTGGCCACAGGGACGGTCCTAAACCTGGGCCGGGGGTGACAAATCCCTCCTGGATTTTAATCCTGGGCCGGGGGTGACAAATCCCTCCTGGATTTTACCTGGGCCAGGGGGTGAGAAATCCCTCCTGGATTTTAAACCTGGGCTGGGGGTGACAAATCCCTCCTGGATTTTACCTGGGCCAGGGGGTGAGAAATCCCTCCTGGATTTTAAACCTGGGCTGGGGGTGACAAATCCCTCCTGGATTTTAAACCTGGGCCGGGGGTGACAAATCCCTCCTGGATTTTAAACCTGGGCTGGGGGTGACAAATCCCTCCTGGATTTTGCCATGTGGATCCACCAGGGATGGGTCAGAACTGGGGAAAGTCGGTAGTTGTTCCTTGGTGGGAAGGATCCCAAGATCCTCCAGTGGATGCCAACATGGAAAAGACACTGGAAACCCTTTCTGCAGCAGCACAGATGCTGCTGCTGGAATTAATTTGGGCTAATTAAATCCCTTTATCAATTGATTTAAAATCAATCGATTTGAAATTGGCTGGTGAGTTTCCGAAGGGAAGCTGTGGTGGGACCCAAACCCATCCTGGGTTTTGGGGAGCATGAGGAGAGGTGGATTCCCAGTGGGATGAGTGATTCCCATCCTAGAGGGGAGGAATTTTGGGAGGGGCTGACTCCGGGGTGTCCCGTTGTCCCCGCAGATTCCAGCGGCGCCGTGGGCAGCTCGGACGTCGTGGTGCTCCTGCACGGCTTCCCAACGTCCAGCCACGACTGGAGCAAGGTGAGGGGGCTGGAGCTGACAGCAAATCCCAGGATTTTCAGCTCCTGGGGATGAGCAGGCAGCACAGCAGGGCTGGGCCATGCTCCAGAGGAGAACTCCTGATTCCTGCTGGAGGAACCACCGTGCTCCAGGATGTCACCTTGTTCCTCTCCCAGCGTGACATCCAAGCTCCTTCCACATCCCACAGGAAAACAGCCACAACAATTCCTTGGCTTTTTTGGAGGATGGCGTGGCTGTTTGTTGGGGAATTTTGACCTGCTGCTGTTTCCTTGGAGCTGGAATGTTCTCTGGGGTGGTGGGGGGGAGCACGTCCATCCATGGCAGCTCATCCCTGCAGATGTTTCCATCCTCTGCTCCCACCGGATGCTTTTTCAATGCATTTCTCCTCTTCCCAGATCTGGGAAGGGCTGACCCAGCGCTTCCACCGGGTGATTGCCCTGGATTTCCTCGGATTTGGATTCAGTGACAAGCCTGTGAGTACCCTGGCATGAGGATTTTCATGGTTGCTTTCAAGCCAACACTCCAGAAAATTGGTTTTTGCCATCCAGGAGAAAAATTGTCTTTTCTGCTCCCATTTATCTCTGGGAAAGGGATAAGTCATTACAACAGTGCAAGGGATAGGGGAGGTTTGTGGTGGATGGGTTTGGTGGGACTCCAAAATGCACCTTGACCCCTCTGGAGCATGGACAGTGCTCCCATGGCCTTGTGGACACCACAGGACACCCCACGCGCTGGGTCCGCGCTCACAAGCTGCTCTTTCCACGTTCCATAGCTCCACATTCCTCCCTTGGGGCGTTTCTCCTGGGGTCTGCGGGGTCAGGCTCTCACTGGGACCCCTCTCCCCCTTTTGCAGAGGCCCCATGGCTACTCCATCTTCGAGCAGGCCACCATCGTGGAGGGGCTGCTGCGGCACCTCGGGCTGCGGCACCAGCGCATCAACCTGCTGTCCCACGACTACGGGGACACGGTGGCCCAGGAGCTGCTCCACAGGTGCCTGCCGCCCCTCCTGCCCTTGGCTGTCCCCACCAAGATGATTTCCAGCAGATGGGTGGGAGATGGGGTGCAGAATTCCCTTTTCCTTGTGCCTGAGGTGTCTTGGGGCGCATCCAAGGCTTCCACCCATCCAGTTCCCAAGGGAAATGGAGATGATCAATGACACAATTTGATGATCAATGACAGTTTGATGATTGATGACACAATCTGATGATCAATGACAAAATCTGATGATCACTGACACAGTATGATGATCGATTACACAATTTGATGATCGATGACACAGTTTGATGATCAATGACACAATTTGATGACAGATGACACAATTTGATGATCGATGACACAGTTTGATGATCAATGACAGTTTGATGATCGATGACACAATCTGATGACAGATGACACAATTTGATGATCGATGACACAGTATGATGATCAGTGACACAATTTGATGATCGATGACACCATTTGATGATCGATGACACAATCTGATGATCAATGACACAATTTGATGATCAATGACACAATTTGATGACAGATGACACAGTTTGATGATCAATGACACAGTTTGATGATCAATGACACAATGTGATGACAGATGACACAATTTGATGATCAATGACACAATTTGATGATCGATGACACAATCTGATGATCAATGACACAGTATGATGATCAATGACACAATTTGATGATCAATGACACAATTTGATGATCAATGAGACAGTTTGATGATCAATGACACAATTTGATGATCAATGACACAGTTTGATGACAGATGACACAATTTGATGATCGATGACACAGTTTGATGACAGATGACACAATTTGATGATCAATGACACAATTTGATGATCAATGACACAATTTGATGATCAATGACACAATTTGATGATCAATGACACAATGTGATGACAGATGACACAATTTGATGATCGATGACACAGTTTGATGACAGATGACACAATTTGATGATCAATGACACAACTTGAGCTCCTGCTCGGTCGTTTCTCGGAGCCTGGAGAGGTTTGGTTGTGTTTCACCCTCTTCCCTGCTGTCCCCAGGTATGAGCACAACAAAACTGGCAGCATCCTGATCAACAGCCTCTGCTTGTCCAACGGAGGTGAGGTTTGTCCAGGGTGGGATGGGATCCATGCGATGGGATCCAGGGGATGGGGATCCATGGGATGGGGTTCCATGGGATGGGATCCATGGGATGGGATCCAGGGGATGGGGTTCCATAGGATGGGGATCCAGGGGATGGGGATCCATGGGATGGGATCCAGGGGATGGGGATCCATGGGATGGGAACCCATCGGATCGAGTTCCACAGGATGGGGATCCATGGGATGGGGATCCATGGGATTGGTATCCACTGGATGGGGATCCATGGGATTTGGATCCATGGGATGGGGACCCATGGGATAGGGATCCATGGGATGGGGTTCTATGGAATGGGAACCCATGGGATGGAGTTCCATGGGATGGGGTTCCATGGGCAGGGGATCCATTGGATAGGAACCCATGGAATGAGAATGCATTTGATGGGGTTCCATGGAATAGGGATCCATGGAATTTGGATCCATGGGATGGGAACGCATGGGATAGGATCCATGGGATGAGGATCCATGGGATGGGGATTCACTGGATGGGGATCCACTGGATAGGGATCCATGGGATGGGATCCATGGAATGGGGATTCATGGGATGGGGATCCATGGGATGGAGTTCCATAGAATGGGAACCCATGGGAATGCAATGCATTGGATGGGGTTCCATGGGATAGGGATCCATGGGATTTGGATCCATGGGATAGGAACCCATAGGATGGGAACCCATACGATGGGAACCCATGGGATGGGGTTCCATGGAATGGGAAGCCATGGGATGGGATCCATGGGATTGGGATCCATGGGATGGGGACCTATGGGATGGGGACCTATGGGATGGGAACCCATAGGATTGGGATCCATGGGATGGGGATCCATGGGATTTGGATCTATGAGATAGGGTTCCATGGGATGGGAACCCATGGGAAGGGGATCCATGGGATAGGGTTCCATGGGATTGGTATCTGTGGGATGGGGATCCATGGGATGGATTGGTTTTCCCATCTCCATCACCCACATCCCAAGGATTGCAGTCAAGGTGCTGTTATTAAGCAGGGGCATGAATCCTGGGGCTCCCTGGGCCACTCTCATGGCACCATGAACAGGGACAACCTGGGAGATGTGCAGCAAACCCCTCCCAGCCTTACAGCTCCGTTCTCTGCTGCCCTTCCAGGGATTTTTCCCGAAACAAACCACCCCCGCTTCATCCAGCAGGTGAGTGCTCCCCTCTCCAGTCCTATGAATCCCAAAATGCCAAATGAACACCCCTTGGAGCGCTGCTGTCACACCCCATGGACACCTCCAGGCCTCATGGGAACAGCTCTCCATGGATTGATCCGTGTGTCCCATGCCGAGCTGTGCTCCCTCCTTTCTCCCTTCTTCCCAAGCTCCTCAAGGATGGGGGGCTGCTGTCCCCCCTCCTCCTGCGGCTGATGAACTTCTTCTTCTTCTCCGGAGGGTGAGTGGGGTCTGGGGGGTGCTGGGCACGATCCACAAGGATGTGAACCAGGTGGGAAAGGGGAAATGCAGGAATGAGAAGGAATTCTTGGCTGGGAGGGTGGGGAGAGCCTGGAATAGAATTCCCAGAGCAGCTGGGGCTGCCCCTGGATCCCTGGAAGTGTCCAAGGCCAGCTTGGAGCACCCTGGGAGAGTGGGAGTGAATGATCCTTCAATTCCCTTCCAACCCAAACCATTCCATGATTCCATAAATCAGGGGTTCGGCAGGAGCAGATTCCCTGGCAGTGCCCCTGGAGAGGTGGGACTCACATCTGGACCATTCCCTCTGCACACTGGCCAAGAACTTCAGTTTAAAAATAAACCAAACAACTTTTCCCTGGAATCCTGGATCCATGGAATGGGGATTCATGGGATGGGGATCCATGGGATGGAGTTCCATAGAATGGGAACCCATGGGAATGCAATGCATTGGATGGGGTTCCATGGGATAGGGATCCATGGGATTTGGATCCAGGGGATGGGAACGCATGGGATGGGGATCCATGGAATGGGAGCGCATGGGATGGGGATCCATGGGATGGAGATCCACGGGATGGGGTTCCATGGGATGGGGATCTATGGGATGTGATCCAGGGGATTGGTATCCATGGGATAGGAACCCATACGATGGGAACCCATACGATGGGAACCCATGGGATGGGGTTCCATGGAATGGGAAGCCATGGGATGGGATCCATGGGATTGGGATCCATGGGATGGGGACCTATGGGATGGGGACCTATGGGATGGGAACCCATAGGATTGGGATCCATGGGATGGGGATCCATGGGATTTGGATCCATGGGATGGGGACCCATGGGATAGGGATCCATGGGATGGGGTTCTATGGAATGGGAACCCATGGGATGGAGTTCCATGGGATGGAGTTCCATGGGCAGGGGATCCATTGGATAGGAACCCATGGAATGAGAATGCATTTGATGGGGTTCCATGGAATAGGGATCCATGGAATTTGGATCCATGGGATGGGAACGCATGGGATAGGATCCATGGGATGAGGTTCCATGGGATGGGGATCCACTGGATGGGGATCCATGGGATGGGAACGCATGGGATAGGATCCATGGAATGGGGATTCATGGGATGGGGATCCATGGGATGGAGTTCCATAGAATGGGAACCCATGGGAATGCAATGCATTGGATGGGGTTCCATGGGATAGGGATCCATGGGATTTGGATCCAGGGGATGGGAACGCATGGGATGGGGATCCATGGAATGGGAGCGCATGGGATGGGGATCCATGGGATGGAGATCCACGGGATGGGGTTCCATGGGATGGGGATCTATGGGATGTGATCCAGGGGATTGGTATCCATGGGATAGGAACCCATACGATGGGAACCCATACGATGGGAACCCATGGGATGGGGTTCCATGGAATGGGAACCCATGGGATGGGGATCCATGGGATTTGGATCTATGAGATAGGGTTCCATGGGATGGGAACCCATGGGAAGGGGATCCATGGGATAGGGTTCCATGGGATTGGTATCTGTGGGATGGGGATCCATGGGATGGATTGGTTTTCCCATCTCCATCACCCACATCCCAAGGACTGCAGTCAAGGTGCTGTTATTAAGCAGGGGCATGAATCCTGGGGCTCCCTGGGCCACTCTCATGGCACCATGAACAGGGACAACCTGGGAGATGTGCAGCAAAACCCTCCCAGCCTTACAGCTCCGTTCTCTGCTGCCCTTCCAGGGATTTTTCCCGAAACAAACCACCCCCGCTTCATCCAGCAGGTGAGTGCTCCCCTCTCCAGTCCTATGAATCCCAAAATGCCAAATGAACACCCCTTGGAGCGCTGCTGTCACACCCCATGGACACCTCCAGGCCTCATGGGAACAGCTCTCCATGGATTGATCCGTGTGTCCCATGCCGAGCTGTGCTCCCTCCTTTCTCCCTTCTTCCCAAGCTCCTCAAGGATGGGGGGCTGCTGTCCCCCCTCCTCCTGCGGCTGATGAACTTCTTCTTCTTCTCCGGAGGGTGAGTGGGGTCTGGGGGGTGCTGGGCACGATCCACAAGGATGTGAACCAGGTGGGAAAGGGGAAATGCAGGAATGAGAAGGAATTCTTGGCTGGGAGGGTGGGGAGAGCCTGGAATAGAATTCCCAGAGCAGCTGGGGCTGCCCCAGCATCCCTGGAAGTGTCCAAGGGCAGCTTGGAGCACCCTGGGAGAGTGGGAGTGAATGATCCTTCAATTCCCTTCCAACCCAAACCATTCCATGATTCCATAAATCAGGGGTTCGGCAGGAGCAGATTCCCTGGCAGTGCCCCTGGAGAGGTGGGACTCACATCTGGACCATTCCCTCTGCACACTGGCCAAGAACTTCAGTTTAAAAATAAACCAAACAACTTTTCCCTGGAATCCTCTTCTCCACAAGTGCTGGAATTACACATTTCAGAGGAAACAAAGCCCCTGCACAATCAATTTTTTTATATTTTTACCAGTGTTAAAAACCCATTTTTTCCCCAAAAAAGCCCTTTGAGGCCATCCAACACTTAGCCCAACTTATTTGGAGAACATCTCGGCACTTGGAGTTTTCATGTGGAAATGGGAAGTGCTGGAATTTTTTGCCCTCTAGTAGTTTTTGAGTGGTTCCCTGAGCGAGCTGCTGCCATGTCTCCCCAAATTCCCTGTTTTTGCAGGCTCAGGGCAGTTTTTGGGCCCTACACTCAGCCCTCGCAGGCGGAATTCTGGGATATGTGGACGGCAGTGCGCAATAACGACGGGAATCTCGTCATGGACAGGTACCTCGGCGTGAATTCCTGCATGTCACAGCTGCTCTGAGCTTCCAGAGCTCAGCCAGCCTCTCCAGAACTTCCAGCTGCTCATTTTGGAGTCTGGGACCACCATTACATCCCAAAAAAGAGCCTGGGAAGAGCGGGGTGGAGTTGGGATTCTCTGGGATGATGCAAGGTTGGAGCTGGATCTGAGATGTGGATTTTTTTTCCTTTGGAAGTCAAGGGTTTGGATTTTGGTGGGGGTTTGGAGCTCAGTCTGTGGCAGGTATTTGAGCAGACCCAGGAAAGATTTACCTCTGGATTTGAACCTTCAGGGCCATTCCCAGAAGTCCCAATCCCGAATCTTCAGCTTGGCAATTTTGGAAGGACGTGTTTCTTGCAGTTTGTGGCTCTCGGAAAGCTCTTGTGCTGGTGGTTGAGTTCAGCTCCTCATCCTCCCTTCCCCCAGTGGGAGAACAGAGTCCCTGAGGCCAGGGATGATGGTGTGGTGCTGGATTCCCACAGGAGATGCAGATCCCACCTGGATTTCATGTGGCCACAGCCCCAGGAGCAAATTCCAGCCTGGGCAGCATCTACTGCCTAACAAAAACTTTTCCTTCAGTATTTTGCAGTACATAAACCAGAGGAAGAAGCACAGAGAGCGCTGGGTTGGGGCTTTGATGTCTACCTCAGTCCCACGTGAGTAGGAATCCATCCCTTTACTGCTTGGGATTTTTGGGAATTGCCCCCCCTCACTTCCAGGCTCCTTTCCACTCATCGGCCTCTCGTTATCCTGAGCTCAAATCCAGTTTGGCAGCAGAGATAACATTCCCTGGTTCACAGCTGGTTCTCCAAGTGCTGCTCCAGGGAAGTTGAGGAGCTTTTTATCCAAAAAGTTTGAACCAGGGAAAAATTTGGGGGTTGGAGGCTGGATTGACCCCAGGGCAGCCCAGCAAAAGCCCAGCCAGAGCTGTTTTGTTCAGTGCTCGACTGGAAGCTTCCCAAGCTTTGTGTGAGGAGGGAACACTCCTGAAGGTCTCCTTGGGGATGTTCTAATTAATGAATCCATTCATTTATGGCTATAAAAGCTCTGTGTGTGCTTCCCTTGCAGTGCATCTCATCTACGGGCCCCTGGACCCCGTGAATCCACACCCAGAGTTCCTCCAGCTTTACAAGTAAGACAAAAAAAGGGAATGTGCAGCTGGGGCTTCATTCCAAGGGATATTTTTCCTGGCTATTCCTCCAATTCCATCCTCAAGGAGAGTGTTTTTAATTCCCACTGGCACCTGCACAGCCAGGTGGTTCAGTCAGAGCAGTTTGGAAATTGGTTCTGCATTTTCAGTCATGAAAATGAAAATTTTCAGTCATGACCCATTTCAAAACCACACAGGGATGTTTCCTGAGGAAGTCTCCTCCTCCAAACTAACCTGAAGGAAATGCAGCACTTGGATGGGGTCAGATGGAGCTGCTCCAGGCTTTTTTTATCCCAAAAATGGGCACAATCCTGGCTGAGTGTGCAGCAGTTCCTGTGCTTGAGCCTTGCTGTGTTTTCCCACCAGGAAGGTGCTGCCCATGTCCACAGTGTCTGTTCTGGATGAGCACATCAGCCACTATCCCCAGCTGGAGGATCCCCTGGGATTTCTGAATGCCTACCTGAACTTCATCAACTCCTTCTGAGCTGCTGCAGCTCAGTTCTCACTCTTGGCCCAGAGTCAGGCTTTGGGGGCAGGAAAAAAATATTGATTTTCTCTCCCAAATCCAACACTGTGCTCACACCCTCATCCTGGGCTGCCAAACTGAGTTAAATCCTTGGAGAGCTGGAAAAATGAGGGGGAAAGCAGGATTCTGACAGCTCTTCCAGCCCTGCACTCTCCTTCTTGTCCAGCTGAACTCAGCAGAGGTTTAAATTAACATGAAATCAGAATTTCTAACTTCCCTCATCGCCCTGGCTTGGGAAGAAACAACCACTTCATCAGCAGGGAGAGGCAGAAGTTCCCTCACAAAATCCCTCCATCCCCCTCCCTCCCCAGTTTTCCATATGGGATTTTTCCCAGTCTGAGCCCAGGAAAAGGCTGCCCTGAGGTTTGGTTATTATATTACCTGACATAAAGCTCAGAGAACTGAATCTGCCTCAAGAGATGGAGTTTAATCTCTCTCTGTACATTGATTTTTCTGTGTGGAAGAAGAGACAGTCACAAAAATACTGCAAATGTGGAGGTTTGGGGTGGTTTTCAGCTGCTGATGTTGGGAATTTAATAGCATCCCTTTAGGAATAAGGGGGTTTTGCTTAATAAACAGCCATTATGGGATATTTTTTCTGTACAGGAGCAGACAGAATTAGAACAAAAAAAATCTATTTTATTAACAGCAATTCATATGAATTCCACCACTTGAACCAGTGTTTATTTTCTGTTAATAAAAAGCAATTTTGACAAAAATCTGATTCAGTTTTCTCCCATCTTTTACCTCCCCTGGTTGAGATGCCACAAGTTAGGCAGGAGTGGTGTGACAACGAGGGAAGGGACGTGGCCATGGCTCAGTACCAGCCAGCCACTAAAGGACATCATAGAAAAGATTTCCCAAACTGAGGAATAAAACTGCCATGCAGAAGGACAGCCAGGAAAAGGGGGCAGCTGCAGGAGCTGCACTGCTGGGAGCCTCAGCCCACGGAAGCCAGGATGACATCGACGGACGCCTCGTCCTTGCTCCTGACTGTCACCTGCATGGTCACACCGTCCCCAAGCGCCAGCCTGGACCTGAGCAGCACGTCACAGCCACCTCTGTACACACCTGGCACACAGCAGCAGGGAGAGGGCACTCAGAGAGGCTCAGGGGTCCAGGCAGGCTCTGCTCGTGGCTCACACCCCATGGAAAGCTGGGACAGGCCCTGGGGGTGCTGGTGACAAGGGTTGGACATCCCCAGGTGGGCAAGAGGCCAATGGCACCTGGGCTGTGCCAGCCCCCGCGTGGGCACGGCCTCAGGGCAGGGACTGCCACAGAATGACAGGATGATGTTCCCTGAGGGACAGCCTGGAATCCTGGGGACAGCTGTGGGCAGGAGAGACCTGGAGGGGCTGGAGCAGGTCCAGGGAATGGAGCTGGGAAGGGTCTGGAGAGGCTGAGGGAGCTGGGAAGGGGCTGGAGAAGCAGGAAAAGCTGAGGGAGCTGGGCAGGGTCTGGAGAAGCAGGAGGTGCTGAGGGAGCTGGGAAGGGTCTGGAGAAGCAGGAGGGGCTGAGGGAGCTGGGCAGGGGCTGAGCCTGGAGCAAAGGAGGCTCAGGGGCCCTGGTGGCTCTGCACAAGTCCCTGGCAGGAGGGGACAGCCGGGGGGGTCGGGCTGTGCTCCAGGGAACAGGGACAGGAGAGAGGGAACGGCCTCAGGCTGGGCCAGGGCAGCTCGGGGGGGATTTTGGGGAAATTCCTCCTGGAAAGGGGTTGTCCAGCCCTGGCACAGCTGCCCAGGGCAGTGGGGAATCCCCATCCCTGCAGGGATTTAAAATCCATGTGGATGTGGCACACGGGGACAGGGGCAGTGGTGGCCCTGGCCGTGCTGGGAATGGTTGGACCCAACCTCTGCACAAGTCCCTGGCAGGAGGGGACAGCCGGGGGGGTCGGGCTGTGCTCCAGGGAACAGGGACAGGAGAGAGGGAACGGCCTCAGGCTGGGCCAGGGCAGCTCGGGGGGGATTTTGGGGAAATTCCTCCTGGAAAGGGGTTGTCCAGCCCTGGCACAGCTGCCCAGGGCAGTGGGGAATCCCCATCCCTGCAGGGATTTAAAACCCATGTGGATGTGGCACATGGGGACAGGGGCAGTGGTGGCCCTGGCAGTGCTGGGAATGGTTGGACCCAATGACCTCAGAGGGCTTTTCCCACCTAAACCATCCCATGATTCCAGGAGAAGCTGTGGGTGCTGCAGGGCAACTCAGGATGTGTCTTCAGCAACAGGAACTTGAGAACAAGACCCTCCCAGACCCTTCTGAGACAAGCTCAGGCTTTTAAGGGATTTCATTCTGTCTGCTCTGGAAGCTCCCCAGTCAGAGATTCTCCACCATTCCCACAGGTGGAATTCCCCCATTCCAAAAGCTTGGCCTGAGCACACCCAAGACAGAGATCTCCAAGTTAGAACCAACTGGGTCACTTCAGAGAAAAAAAACTCTTTCTACAGAGAAAAAAAAATCCCAAAATAACAGCAGGATCTCCTAAACCATTTCCCTTCATTTAGAAAAATCCTTGGGGACATGGAAACATGAAATTCAGCAGCAGGAACACTTACCAGCCAAGTAGAGGGTGTGAGAATTTTTGTTTTCTGGCACTTTATCTGACCTCTCACAGGGCTGCATGCCCAGGAACTTGATGATGTTATTGACAGCTTCTGCATTCAGAGAGTGAAGAAGAAAATCACTCCAGGTAATTATTTATTACACTAAATCAAACCCCATTGAGGCAGGTGGGTGATCAATAAATGAGGGATTGTCTCACCATCCAGGGTTTTGATGGAGCTGAGTGCAAAGGTTTCTTCTTTCTCAAAGTCATCTCCCACCTCTTCCCAGGCAGCAGCAAAGTTGGGCTTCAGAACCTTCTGGAGATGATCAGCCACTGTCACCTCCAAGTCTTCCAGCTGGGAGGAAAAAAAGGGAAATTTTCAGGCCAGTTGTGAAAATAATGCTCACCTTGGAAAGGGAAAAAGAGCCCACAGCATTTTGCCAAGACAATGCCTGGTTTTAATTCCAGGAGATATATAATGATAGCTTCTAAAAAGAGGGGAAATAGTATTTATGATGAATAAATAAATAGTATTTCTTTATTTATCTGTAATCCTTAAAAATATTTACACAAAACATCTGTGAGACTAAAGAGAGCAGGAAATGAGGCCATCACTTGATGGGTCAAAGCCCTGTGCAGCTCTCCTGGAGCCCCTGGAATGTGCTGGAAGCTCTCCCTGGAGCCTTCCCTTCTCCAGGGAACATTCCCAGCTCTCCCAGCCTGACATTGGATCCATCTCCTCTCCAGGACATTCATGGACCCAGGGGCTTCACTGGGAATCTCAGGAAACCATGAAGGGTCTCCCTTCCCTTTTCCTCTCTTTTCCATCGCCATTTTCCATAAAAATCCCTGGGGATGGATTCTGAGTGTCCCAAATCCCAGAATCCCAGAGCAGTTTGGGTGGGAAGGGACCTCAGAGCTCATTCCAGGGACACCTCCCCTGTCCCAGGCTGCTCCAACCCTTCCTTGGGCACTGCAGGGATCAGGGGCAGCCCCAGCTGCTCTGGCAATTCCAGCCCAGCCAGCAATTCCTCATGGCCAAGATCCCATCCATGGCTGCCCTCTGGCACTGGCAGCCATTCCCTGGCTCCTGTCCCTTGTCCCCAGTCCCTCTGCAGCTCTCCTGGAGCCCCTGCAATGTGCTGGAAGCTCTCCCTGGAGCCTTCTCCTCTCCAGGTGAGCACCCCCAGCTCTCTCCAGAAGGAACCTTTATTTCCTCCAATACTTCCTGAAATCCAACTGTATCCTATCACTAATTAACAAAAATCCAAATGTTTGGGGTGGAAAGATGGCAGCACAATTCTGAAAATAAACAATGGGAGTTATTTCTTCTTTCCCTCTTCTCTGTCCCCACTAATTCAATTCCACAGTGCACTAAAACTTTGACAGAAACGAACTTTTAGGGAAGGATCTAAAAATGACATTTTTACAGCATTTTGCTGTTTCAGGCACATTGCTTGGCTTCAGAATTGAGAGCAAACTTGACCCAATGGTCACATTTATCCCAAATAGAATGGGGGGAACAGGGAGCAGAGGCTGGACTCACCACGTACTCATCCTCATAGCCATCCTCCTCTGGCACCCCCGTGCTGGGGTCGCAGTCCCGCACCGTGAACCTCATGGTGCAGCTGAAGGTACAAGCAACTGGCAAGAGACACAAAATCCTGAGATCTGGGCAAGATTCCTCTGCTGGAACCTTCTCTTCCCAAAAAACCAGACTGCAGTTTTGCCCCAGAAATACAGATGTGGCCAGGACAGAGTGCTTTAATGTCATTTTTTCCTTTGATTTTAAAATAAAGGCCAAAGGAGGAGCTCAGGAGAGTCCCAGGGGTAACAAATGATTCCAAATGCTGCCATGAAATCCAGCAGCAGGCACCAGGAAAAATCCCATGAGGATTTCTGACAAATGGAATATCATCCAAACCCACAGTATAGCAAACTCAGATTATTTTTAATCTTCCCTGGTATTAAAATAACTTAAAAATCCACTCCACTGATAAGTCACATTAAATAACTGCAAACCCAGTGGTGCTTAAGTGAGAATAAGAAAAGAAAGGGAAGTTTTACATCCAAGAAAAAATTTATTCCTATATTTTGTAGTAGTTTCTGATTCTCTAAAGAGAGGAAAAAATTAATTAGTCCATTAAATAAAGCCTCAAACGAGGAATATTTCTATTCTACCTGCATTTTCCTTTTACTGGTTCTGTTCTTGAACACTACCAAACATCAAAGGTTTTAATTGTGTTCCTTCCATTGATTCCAGGCCATAAATCCAAGTTTCCATTACCTGTGTGCTCTGCAATCCTCTTTTACATCCCATTTTTAATCCTCTAACACCACTGATTATTTATAAAAATCATTTTGCTAAATGATTATTTATAAAAATCATTCTGCTAAATGATTATTTATAAAAAACATTTTGCTAAGAAGCAGCACTTGAGACAGTGATGGTTTTCCATGGGAGGTAGGTATGGAAGTGATGTAAAAGATTTTGTGTAACAGAGTTTGTGGAACTTCTGGAAAGTTGTACACGTAAAAAAAACATTATAAAATTTTATTCTAATTCTTATTAGTCTTTTAGTTATGTTAATAAATTTTTCTTGATACCCTTTTAAAGTTTTAAACCTACTTCACCTATCTCACTACAAAAAATAAATTCATTAATAATGAATTATAAAAACAAAACGTTTTTATAACCACCCCTCATCCTTGTTTTGGAAAAGATGGAGCAAAATCAAAATCAGGCAATGAAAGCCCAGGTCACACTCCTGGCTCCATTTCCCAGACCATGCTTCCCAGATTTAGATTATTTAGGATTCCCAGAGCAGCTGTGGCTGCCCCAAAACCCACCACATTCTTTAATACATTAAACCAAAAATAAATTTTATAATTAACAAAATCTCAAGTTAACAAACCAAAACCACTACACAAAATTAGTATTTCCATTCAATTCAAACTAAAACCACCACCCACACACAGAGAAAAGAAAAATCCAAGGATCTCAGGATGAGCAAAACCCCACACCCCCAGCTCCTGGCATCCCCCCAACCTTCACTGGAGGGATTTGTGGGGCACAGCTCACCTGCAGTGGGGTCATCCTGGGGGATGCTGACCAGGGTGTAGCACATGCCAGGCTGGTTGTAGGCCAGGCTGGCAGCTGGGATGCAGCAGATCACAT